AACAAGGACTTGGCGGCTCGAAGTCAGTATATTGTGTCTGAGTGGGGTATGTTAAACTGCGGTTTGGTATCTCAGAGGGCTGGCACTATAAAACCGGAAACGAGCACGTGCACATGCACACACACACAAACACACACACACCTATATATATATATATATCTATGTGTGTGTATGTATGTATGTATGTATGTATGTATGTATGTATGTATGTATGTATGTATGTATGTATGTATGTATGTATGTATGTATGTATGTATGTATGTATGTCGCCTTACCTCACAGCAAACCTCCCAGCCCTTATAATTAGTATTTTGCTTTTATCATTCGGTATTGTTCAGATGTGTTACTTACCTTAACTCGAACTGCTTGTGTCTCAGGGTCACAACTTCCACCTTTAACTCATACGTCCTGTCGGACACCTCTTTATGCTCCTTCTTCAGCCGACTTCTCTGGCGTTTCATTGGTCGTTCACGTTCATCAAAAAGTTCAAGGTCACGTTGACATTTGTCAATCTGTCGTTCAAGGTCACTTTTCTCTCGAGGAGATTTAGGGATTTTTTGTCCCCGTTTTCCTTTCTGCTCTTCAAGTTTTTCACTACTCGCCTCCCTCTCTTTGCCAAGTCTCTCGATCTTTAACTCAACTGTCTCCAGGCGTCGTTTGGTCTTAATTTTCTCTTGTTTATAAATATTATACTCCTTTTCCAATTTCACCCGCGATCGTTGCATTTTATCAATTTGCTGAGAGTTGTGTGATTTCTTGTCATGCAAAGAAGCAATTTCATCCTGCATCTTTTCCTTATAAGAATTATTAAACTGAATTTCCTGATTGAGTTTTTCGGGGTAAGACGCATCATCCTCCACCCACTTTTTCAGCATCTCAGAAACCTCACTGAACGTGGCAGTGATGTCCTCCATCAGCGTTCCATGCTCCTGGCCGTCAAACACAAACTTGTAAAAAGGACTCTTCAGTTCCCCATACCGCAGTATACTGTGGTTGACGGTGTTAAGTTTCTCTTCGATCTCCACCTTGTTTGACGCTATGGCAGTGTCATAGTCTTTGATAGGTGTGACCTCATGGGGCCTTGAATCCTCCTCAAAGCTGAGGCAGTATTTGTACATATGGTCATTCACACAGGAAACGAGCTTATTGCGCATGACCGGAACCATAACCTCGAAGTCTCTCGCACGGTGACACAAATGGAGCAAGGTTTTGAACTGTGCGCTCTTTTTGGTTTTCTTGTCGATGGTCTTCGTGTTGGTCGTGTCTATAAATTCCTTCCATGTTGACAGAGAATCTTTGTCCATGTCCCATTCCTCCAGTAATTTGTCCATGCATTCTGAGCATGCGTGATAGTCGACGGACTTCCCCTCAAAGTGCGTCCTGTTGAACTTCCGGATGCCATAGTTCACTTCCTGTATGATGTCATTGATTCTGCGGTGTTCCGCCTGCCGGGAAGGGGGTGTCTTGATGTCCCGCTTCCGCTGTCGGCCTCGTGGGGGCATGCTAATTCCGGCTCCGAGTGGGCGTGTCGCTAAGGATGCATCACAACGGGGCCTAGAATTGAAATAGAAACATCCATTATCCTGTTTGTTTGTTTGTTGTTTAACGCCGCACTCAGCAACATTCCAGCTATATGACGGGGGTCTGTAAATAATCGAATCTGGACAAGACAATCCAGTGATTGATATCATGAGCATCGATCCACGTAATTTGGATCGATGACATGCATCAACCAAGTCAGCGAGCCTGACCACCCGATCCCGTTAGTCGCCTCATACGACAAGCATAGTCCTCCTTTACGGCCAGCATGGGTTGCTGAAGACCTATTCTACCCCGGATCTTTAACAAACCAACCAACCAAGAATCAACAAACCCCTCCCACCGTTGATTGAATATTCACATGCTGATAACATCCTACATATTTGTTCGACGGACGAAGAGGCGAGTTAATTGAATCACGCATGTGTTTGGACCGTGGAAGTCGTATTCACACTTTGAAGGTTTTACTGTCTCGCATTGTGTGTATTAGGGTGTGCGGTATTACCGTTATATCGGTAAATTGAGGTTCATTCTTTCCACGATACGTATCACAATATCACAATTTTAATGCTCGGTATAACGGGTGATTTCAAATAGCGATTTTTATCATAGGTTTAATGTTATATACTTGGCAATTGTCTTCGCTGCCCCTTCGCTGAGTAAACATCATGTTATATCATCTTGTTTTGTTCCATTTATAAACTTCAGTTCATACCCTAATGTATCAGATTGCTTCTGAATTCAAAATTTAGAAATATACAATATATGGTGATACGTATCGCAAAACGGCCTTGTGCATCGCAAACTTTTGTGATACACTTCAAACCTCCAATACCCATCCCTAGTGTGTATACTGATGCAATACTGTTGAACTTTCAAGAGCCTTCTTGCGGTAGAGTCACTGAGTACATGAAGATATGGTAGATGTTCAGCAATTGAAGTGGTACTGTGGATGGGAGCATGGTGTTGATAGATTAGTGGGACTGTAGTATTGGCAGCAATTTGGTGGTGGTGGTGGTAGCAGCAGTAGTCAAGGGTAGATGTATTTGTGACAAGGGTAGATATCGTTGTGTGAGCGGTAATAGTAAGCATAACAATATAACTATTTTTGTATTGACAAAGAAGCATCGTCAAGTCAGGCAGAAACAACATGTGGTGCTGAAACACGTCGCCAGGTAGAAACAACACGTGGTGCTGAAACACGTCGCCAGGTAGAAACAACACGTGGTGCTGAAACACGTCGCCAGGCAGAAACAACACGTGGTGCTGAAACACGTCGCCAGGTAGAAATAACACGTAGTGCTGAAACACATCGCCAGGAAGAGAGAACATGAAGTGCTGAAACACGTCGCCAGGCAGAACCAACGCGTAGTGCTGAAACACATCGCCAGGAAGAGAGAACATGAAGTGCTGAAACACGTCGCCAGGAAGAACCAATGCGTAGTGCTGAAACACGTCGCCAGGAAGAGAGAACATGAAGTGCTGAAACACGTCGCCAGGCAGAACCAACGCGTACTGCCGAAACACGTCGCCATGCAGAACCAACGCGTACTGCCGAAACACGTCGCCAGGCAGAACCAACGCTCACTGCCGAAAAAGGTCGCCAGGCAGAACCAACGCGTACTGCCGAAACACGTCGCCAGGCAGAACCAACGCGTACTGCCGAAACACGTCGCCAGGCAGAACCAACGCGTAGTGCCGAAACACGTCGCCAGGCAGAACCAACGCGTAGTGCCGAAACACATCGCCAGGAAGAGAGAACATGAAGTGCCGAAACACGTCGCCAGGCAGAAACAACATGTGGTGCTGAAACACGTCGCCAGGCAGAAACAACGCGTACTGCCGAAACACGTCGCCAGGAAGAACCAACGCGTAGTGCTGAAACACGTCGCCAGGCAGAAACAACGCGTAGTGCTGAAACACGTCGCCAGGCAGAAACAACGCGTAGTGCTGAAACACGTCGCCAGGCAGAAACAACACGTAGTGCTGAAACACGTCGCCAGGAAGAACCAACGCGTAGTGCTGAAACACGTCGCCAGGAAGAGAGAACATGTAGTGCCGAAACACGTCGCCAGGAAGAACCAACGCGTAGTGCTGAAACACGTCGCCAGGCAGAAACAACACGTGGTGCTGAAACACGTCGCCAGGCAGAAACAACACGTAGTGCTGAAACACGTCGCCAGGAAGAACCAACGCGTAGTGCTGAAACACGTCGCCAGGAAGAGAGAACATGTAGTGCCGAAACACGTCGCCAGGAAGAACCAACGCGTAGTGCTGAAACACATCGCCAGGAAGAGAGAACATGAAGTGCTGAAACACGTCACCAGGAAGAACCAACGCGTAGTGCTGAAACACATCGCCAGGAAGAGAGAACATGAAGTGCCGAAACACGTCGCCATGCAGAACCAACGCGTACTGCCGAAAAACGTCGTCAGGCAGAACCAACGCGTAGTGCCGAAACACGTCGCCATGCAGAACCACCGCGTAGTGCCGAAGAACCTCGCCATGCAGAACCAACGCATACTGCCGAAAAACCTCGCCAGGCAGAACCAACGCGTAGTGCTGAAACACGTCGCCATGCAGAACCAACGCGTAGTGCCGAAGAACCTCGCCAGGCAGAACCAACGCTTACTGCCGAAAAACGTCGCCAGGCAGAACCAACGCGTCCTGCCGAAACACGTCGCCAGGCAGAACCAACGCGTAGTGCCGAAACACGTCGCCAGGCAGAACCAACGCGTAGTGCCGAAACACGTGGCCAGGCAGAAACAACGCGTAGTGCTGAAACACGTCGCCAGGCAGAAACAACACTTAGTGCTGAAACACATCGCCAGGAAGAGAGAACATGAAGTGCTGAAACACGTCACCAGGAAGAACCAACGCGTAGTGCTGAAACACATCGCCAGGAAGAGAGAACATGAAGTGCCGAAACACGTCGCCATGCAGAACCAACGCGTACTGCCGAAAAACGTCGTCAGGCAGAACCAACGCGTAGTGCCGAAACACATCGCAATGCAGAACCAACGCGTAGTGCCGAAGAACCTCGCCAGGCAGAACCAACGCGTACTGCCGAAAAACGTCGCCAGGCAGAACCAACGCGTACTGCCGAAACACGTCGCCATGCAGAACCAACGCGTAGTGCCGAAGAACCTCGCCAGGCAGAACCAACGCGTACTGCCGAAACACGTCGCCAGGCAGAACCAACGCGTACTGCCGAAACACGTCGCCAGGCAGAACCAACGCGTAGTGCCGAAACACGTCGCAGGCAGAACCAACGCGTAGTGCCGAAACACGTCGCCAGGCAGAACCAACGAGTAGTGCCGAAACACGTCGCCAGGCAGAACCAACGAGTAGTGCCGAAACACGTGGCCAGGCAGAACCAACGCGTAGTGCCGAAACACGTCGCCATGCAGAACCAACGCGTACTGCCGAAAAACGTCGCCAGGCAGAACCAACGCGTAGTGTCGAAACACGTCGCCAGGCAGAACCAACGCGTAGTGCCGAAACACGTCGCCAGGCAGAACCAACGCGTACTGCCGAAAAACGTCGCCAGGCAGAACCAACGCGTACTGCCGAAACACGTGGCCAGGCAGAACCAACGCGTAGTGCCGAAACACATCGCCAGGAAGAGAGAACATGAAGTGCTGAAACACGTCGCCAGGAAGAACCAACGCGTAGTGCCGAAAAACGTCGCCATGCAGAACCAACGCGTACTGCCGAAAAACGTCGCCAGGCAGAACCAACACGTACTGCCGAAAAACGTCGCCAGGCAGAACCAACGCGTAGTGCCGAAACACGTCGCCAGGCAGAAACAACGCGAAGTGCTGAAACACGTCGCCAGGCAGAAACAACACTTAGTGCTGAAACACGTCGCCAGGAAGAACCAACGCGTAGTGCTGAAACACGTCGCCAGGAAGAGAGAACATGTAGTGCCGAAACACGTCGCCAGGAAGAACCAACGCGTAGTGCTGAAACACATCGCCAGGAAGAGAGAACATGAAGTGCTGAAACACGTCACCAGGAAGAACCAACGCGTAGTGCTGAAACACATCGCCAGGAAGAGAGAACATGAAGTGCCGAAACACGTCGCCATGCAGAACCAACGCGTACTGCCGAAAAACGTCGTCAGGCAGAACCAACGCGTAGTGCCGAAACACATCGCAATGCAGAACCAACGCGTAGTGCCGAAGAACCTCGCCAGGCAGAACCAACGCGTACTGCCGAAAAACGTCGCCAGGCAGAACCAACGCGTACTGCCGAAACACGTCGCCATGCAGAACCAACGCGTAGTGCCGAAGAACCTCGCCAGGCAGAACCAACGCGTACTGCCGAAACACGTCGCCAGGCAGAACCAACGCGTACTGCCGAAACACGTCGCCAGGCAGAACCAACGCGTAGTGCCGAAACACGTCGCAGGCAGAACCAACGCGTAGTGCCGAAACACGTCGCCAGGCAGAACCAACGAGTAGTGCCGAAACACGTCGCCAGGCAGAACCAACGAGTAGTGCCGAAACACGTGGCCAGGCAGAACCAACGCGTAGTGCCGAAACACGTCGCCATGCAGAACCAACGCGTACTGCCGAAAAACGTCGCCAGGCAGAACCAACGCGTAGTGTCGAAACACGTCGCCAGGCAGAACCAACGCGTAGTGCCGAAACACGTCGCCAGGCAGAACCAACGCGTACTGCCGAAAAACGTCGCCAGGCAGAACCAACGCGTACTGCCGAAACACGTGGCCAGGCAGAACCAACGCGTAGTGCCGAAACACATCGCCAGGAAGAGAGAACATGAAGTGCTGAAACACGTCGCCAGGAAGAACCAACGCGTAGTGCCGAAAAACGTCGCCATGCAGAACCAACGCGTACTGCCGAAAAACGTCGCCAGGCAGAACCAACACGTACTGCCGAAAAACGTCGCCAGGCAGAACCAACGCGTAGTGCCGAAACACGTCGCCAGGCAGAACCAACGCGTAGTGCCGAAACACGTCGCCAGGCAGAACCAACGCGTACTGCCGAAACACGTCGCCAGGCAGAACCAACGCGTACTGCCGAAACACGTCGCCAGGAAGAAAGAACATGTAGTGCTGAAAAACATCGCCAGGCAGAACCAACATGTAGTCACATATAATGAAGAGTTTCACCAATTTCCCTAAAAAACACGTTGGAAAACGTTTAAACAACGGCATTGTTGAAAGGTACATTGACATCAATACAACCCTTTTATAAAGGGCCTTGAACTCTCTCATAGAAGGCAACATGTCTCCACATAACCGCACCGAAAGAGATCACTCCATCAAAACACATTAAGTTCAAACATTTGACACACCGACATTCTTGTTGTTGTTTTGTTGTTTAACACCGCACTCAGCAATATTCCAGCTATATGACGGCGGTCTGTAAATAATAGAATCTGGACAAGACAATCCAGTGATTGATATCATGAGCATCGATCAACGTAATTTGGATCGATGACATGCATCAACCAAGTCACCCGATCCTGTTAGTCGCCTCTTACGACAAGCATAGTCGCCTTTTACGGCTAGCATGGGTTGCTGGAGAGCTTTTCTATCCGGCTCTTCACGGGTCCCGACATTGTTGAGACAGGAATTACAATCAGTACAACGCCTTTATACAGAAGCCTTATACAGAATGCCGAGATCAAGTGATAAGGACAAAGACATGCTGTTCGCTGCTTACTGGTGATCCGTGCACGCGATAGCTCAACTTCAAACAGACCATCTGACCTCTGTCTGTGTGGGGCGTCGGGCTCCCAAGGTGAGATAACGGGTCAGAGGTCAGCTTTGGCTGTCAGCGTATGACTGTGTCGACATGATTGATTGACACGCGGAGATTGGCCTAATCGATTCTGTCACGAGCCTTGAATCACTATGAATGCAATTCCTGGACTCTAAAAGAAGGTCACGTTTGCAACTTTTCAATACACACACAGAAAAGTGTGTGTTGATCATATATTTTACGACATATACTGATTCCAAACAACATGTGTATATAAGATGTCAACACCAAAGAATACCCAGTGTCCATTATCTGCCAAAACAGATTCCGTAGGACGTATAAGGCAAACTAGAGACGAAAATTATAGGTATGGATAACTGAAAACATGTGACACCAGCCGTTCGCGAGATCTATGAGCACGTATTGTTCTACCGGTAGCACTTGCTACTCAGACAACAAGCATAAAAGGTTTGTGCCTGTATGTTGCCTAACGCTGCACCCAGCTACTCTCCTGCCACCCGGCAGCAGCTTGTAAACAATCGAGTCTGAATCATACATTCAAGAATGGCGTCGTGCAGATATACTGTGAGCAAACCCGTCGAAGGTATGGACGGAAGAAGGCGCGTTAGAGAGAGGAATTCGTGCAACCGAAGCACATTTTATCTCAAACTCCATCAATAAGGTCGCCAGGAGCAGCTAAATATGTGATTACCTACTCAAGTTAAACTGTTAAATACAGTAAACTACGGTTATAACGAACACGCTTATAACGAACTGACGGATATAACGAAATTACTTTTTTGGTCCCGACTACTTGCTGTAGTTATGCTGTATATGTACTTAAAACGAACTACGGTTATAACGAACTAAAATTAGTAGTCCCTTTGAGTTCGTTATAACCGTAGTTTACTGTACTCATATTTAGACATCAGGGTGCTTGGGTATCTGTTGGAGAATATATATATATATATCTCCGAGAAACATGGAACCAAACAATATATATGGTCCCACAACACTTACTATTTCAGAGACAAAGAGCAAGCCCAATTAACTTGTCTACGGCTTTGGGGAGTAATTAGGTCATAGGAAATTCCGACAGGCGAATTAGTATTAGGTTAGGCATATGAAGGACAAAAATATTTTTGGGACCCGCTGCTTCACGGAGTGGCTATAAAAGGATAATCACGTTGAATCATTCATGTCTTCATGAGCGCCATTATAAACACCGTTCTCCACTTAGATATAACACCATCACCAATATCGAAGGGGTAGCAAAAGGTCATGACACGCCATTAGAAATCTCAAAGAAATTACCATCCATAACGTTCCATGTCTTGTAGCTCTGCCATCTTCTATGACCATATAAAGACTTTCGGGCATCGCCAGCAGATATTATGATTTAACAATGGACAATGACAGAGGATGACTGTTCCACACACCACAAAAACCACCTTCGACTTCCAAGGATAAAGGATAAAGCTGACCCACATTGTTATCCATCCACGCGATGAAGGGACAAAAAAGGTCGTGACACATCATTACAAATCAAAACAAAGTTGGCTTCTATGAAGTTCCATGTCTTCTTTCTCACAACTGTTGTCAATGAAAGGCGTTGACTGTTCCACGCAGGACTAAAAACACTCGACTTTATGCTTGGCGTGTCCAGAGGTATGGCGATAGTTAGGTAGTCCACAGACACGTGTATCCATCCCAGTACTCGATGACAACTGGTGTCCCAACCAGACGGACATCACAGAAACTACCATGAAATTCAAAATGAACCACGAACAGTTCTGGTTAAGTGGACCACACGTCTCATGTCGAATGCCCATCGCATGCAGCAGAATACATCCTGTATTTCCCGTGGACATTGATACAATGCGGGAGACCAAGCCTGGAGAAAGTAGACCCGTGTTTTGTTCACCTGAGCGGTATCAATTACCACGTCACGGCAGCGACAGCACCACGGTTGACAGGTTCTCCTGCGACCTGTCTCGTCAGTATCACGCTGCAATGTTGTCCGTTGAACTACAGTTACAGCCCTATTCCTGGTACAGATAGTTGGCGCTGTCTTGTAAGCGAGAAACCATTTGATTTTCAGAGAGGAGGGAAGTGATTATTTCCAAAAACATAATCAAGCGCTGTTTCATTGAAAAAATACATCTGCCTGGTATTGTAAGAAAAACATATATGGCGGTTTCTTGCAAACAACTGTCCATATTCTACAGCTTCCTATTTTTATTTATTTATAAAATTGGATGATTGAGCACCTGTTGATGTTGGAAAAAATAACTGAGGTTCTAAACATTACAAAATCGCGAACCAAACCAATGCATACACACACCACCAACACGTACACCACCAACACACACACCCCACCCACACACAGACTCATACACACCACACACACACCACACACACTACATCCACACGCACAACACGCACATTCATACACACCACATCACACACACACACATTCATACACACCACGCACATACACTCCATCCGTACACACCACACATACACACACCACACCACACACACTCA